CTTGTTACTTATTACTACATGCCTACGTTATTTACTGAACCTCATAATTTGTATTTTGTTGAAAACTTTTTTTTATTTATTAATATAGCTCTCTTCACAAGAAGCATAAAATGCTTCTTGTGAAGCTTCTTTTGTTTCAGAAGAATGCTTACTTTGTGAGAAATTAATGGGAAAGACTTGTTAAATGTGACGATTTATTCATGTTCCTTAACGAAAGTAAAGAAGTCATCAATATTTTCTTTCATGATTGGCATGGGCTTCAGTGTTTTTGAATGAAATTTTGTAAACAGCAAGCAGAAACAACCTGAAAAGTTTGAAGTCGCTCGCATGAAGTGATGCTGGTGATGCTGAGATAATGTCAAAACAAGTTGAGTCATTTGTGAATCTACCATCCCCCCTTAAAACATCTTCAAATCTCTACTAGCTATAAGAAATGGTCGTTTAGAACGTCGACAAACGTTTTTCAAGCTGAAAAAGAATGATGGGAGAAAGACAAAAAACAGGAAACACACCATTTCATCGTTTACCCTGAGACTGGGGTTTTTTTTTTTTTGAAGAGCTCTTCAAAAAAAAAACCAGTCTCAGGGTAAACGACGAAATGGTTGACTTCCACCAGCTAGCCTGTACTTTGACTCTTTTCTCGTTAGGAAACACACGAGACCGCCAAGTGTTCCACGGCTAAACGACAGGTGGCGTCGGAGTGTTCTCTAGTCTACTCTAGTCCAGAGCGTCGTAAGAGATTTGAAGGCACACGGTCCTAAGAAGTCGGAAGTGTGAAAGGGTCTTGAACCGTCTGCTCACAAACGCACAAGCACCCGAAAATAAACGCAGGTGAGCGAAAGCATTTATATCCTATGCAGTACCAAGTTGGTCTGTGTTATGAAAACGTGGGATTTGAAAATTGAACCGGCATCTCTTTGGGTATTGTTGTTTCTTTTTTCGACTTCCGAAAATGTCGACTATTAATTATTCTTTCGATCGATCTCTATTTGCTATAGTTTCTTAGACCTCTGGAAGAGTCGGATGCGTGCATCCTCGATTTAAAAATAATGCGATGAGTCCTAGCGCTTGCGTAAAATTGACGCGCGCTTGACAGCAACTGGCCTCGCCCGACGACCGCGGCGTCATTTATTTCACAGGGATGTGCCAAAGCCGGTGGACGCGCAGAACATCACAAAATAGCGCTTGAATTACGCAACACGCGAAACCTCTCGAAGATGATGCACTTTAAAAGAAACGTGCAAACAACACCCGAACTTTGGCCCGTGCCATGGCGGGCCAAAGTTGTATACATTACGTGCTAAAGAAGCTCTATTGTTTACTTCGGGTATTTAGATCAAATTAATCTGATTTAAATCAAATAAATCTAACACTTTTTTTTGTCAAAAAAGATACGATACATCTTGTTTTTCAAATAAGAATCATTTTTTTTTACTCTGCTGAAAACCCAGTAGATGCTGCACCTCCAGGGGCTCTAATCTGGAAACTTGGCGAAACAAGTCGGCGAGAAATTCGCCCGCCGTGATTGGCCGGCGCCAAGGTCAAGCGCAGAGTCGGCCAATCACGGTTGCCGAATTCTTCGCCGCCTTTTTCGCCGAGTGTCCAGATTCGAGTCACAGCACGGGCTTGTCGCCTTCCCCGGCGCCCTGGCAGCGCGTGTGCGAGGCAGTGGTATCAAAGGCAGAAAGCTCGCCCTGCGCTGTTAGACTCGGTTGGACCGCGGCTGCATGTGCGCAAAGGGTTGATGCCGGGAGAGGAAAGCCGACAGTGCGCTTCGTTCCCCGTCGCGCACGAATTCGTCGATGACGCGAGGCCGTGCTGCCTGCCCGTGCGGTTCCGGGGGTCCCAAACGAAGCGAAACCGCAACGGAAACATTGAAGGCCCTGCGGATGAACGATGGTACAACATTCGCGCCAGGCTCTGACACAAATACACAACGAGGAAAGAAAAACAGAGAGAGGAGGGAACTGTCCCAAATTCCCGCTGGCGAGGACGACGTGACTTGTCGCAATTTCTCGAGTGACGCAACGTGGAACGCTCTTTCCACCCTCGAGGAACCGGACCACCGTACTGAGTCCCGACGAGGTGAAACAGTACAAGAGACAAGCGGACGCACGCAGTGTTGTGTGCCGACGTTAATTTGGTGAAACCTCGATTTCACTCTACCACAACTTCCAATGACGGTGCTCAGAAGCTATTTTGATGACACGCGCCCGTGGCCATTGGGAAGGGCATGGCTGGACCGACCGGCCAGTACCACTCGGAGAGTTCGACCGAGCGCAAAGTTTGTCGCGAGCCTGCTCCCTGGAGGGTGCACGAAGATGCGCAAACATCTCGTCGTTCGCCCCGACGGCTCCAGACTCCCGCAAATACTGATAACGTAGGAAAGGGAACGAGCCTTTTGTTATCGCAGTGCTGCTTCCAAGGCCCGCCAGAATAACCGATAGCGCGCGAAAGTGCTCCCGCGTGGAAACAGCCGCCCGTCGGAAACAGTTAACCCCCTTCCCATATGACGCCACACCGACCCAGCCAACGCAAGCATCGCATACAGGTGTATGGTGTGCTTGAGCAACATAAAACGAGACGCGTACATGTAATGCTCGTGCAACCGACCAAACCCGACAAAAAAAAAAAGTGGTGCAATTTCTGCTGATTTCAGCATGGTTGCAATCGCAAGCGGAATTTGAACACTTCCTGGAATGAAAGCGCCGTCACAAATGCGATCATCGCGGACATGCAACGGCGGGGAAGTGGAAGGACTCGTGCAAGTCTGGGTACAATCGCGCAGTTCCAAGAAAAATAAGCGTAGGCCTACCAACAGTCACATCGTAGCTCAACGAGACCGTGTCACCCAGCCCGACATCATGTCAACAGTCGACCTCAAGACTTTCGGACGTTAATCATTTATTCTGGAAGCAGCGCACGAGACTAGTTTCTACAAATCAATGAGCAGGATCTTGCCGCGCAGCTCAACCTGTTTTGGTGCCGTTTAGCCTTGAGCAAACAAATTTAGGTCTGCAAAGAGAAAAACAGCCGGAACGGGTCAGACAAGAAAAGCACGAACCCCGTAGGTGGCTCATTTTTCTTCCTGCGACGAGTCAAATATCATTGGCCACCTCGGACTTCCCAACCACGTGACTAAGCTACTACAATAATTAACGTTCCTGAATCGGAGGACAGACAGAAAAGGGAAAACCGTGATCGTTCAAAGAAAGCCTCTCGATCCCTGCCTGAAAATGTTTTTAAAGGTCAACTATGCGAACAGGCGATCACCAATGTGTGCAGTTCTCGGCTGCCGACGGAACTACTACGGTGACTGTCGCGCAGCCTGCATGAAATGCCAAAAAGTAACAAAAAATACGAGGCACTCTAGCTCGGAAGAAATCGAACCACAGGCAAGAGCGCAGAGCCCCATAAAAGCCCCAAAGTGAACAATGATGCGCCTTGATAGAAGCTCGCAGAAGGCAGAGAACCCCTGCGTGTGTGCCCATTCGAACTTCCCCGGTCGAAATAGGCGTTCGACCGCAGACTTCTCATAGAGTAAAAATAGGCAACTACCAATCGGGTCAAAGCGACCGGTAAGCCAAGAAAGGCTTGGAGACCCGACGGAGTTCACCGGGGGTGAGCTCCAGGGCTGTTCCCGGCAGTCTGACGGCGAGATCCGCGTGAAGGCGGCCCAGTTGCAATTGGGGGGCAGGAAGCGGCCACTTTCTCGGCCAAACTTCCTGGCGGAGCGAGGAAGGCCTCCAGCGAGCCGCGTAATCTAATAGCGGCCCCAAAAAGCAGGTCACCACGTGCCGGCTCCTCGCCGACACCCCGCCACACACCTACGGGACAGGGCAGCCAGGCAGCGGAGTTCGGACCGTCCCGTCGTGGAAGCGTCAAGAGCTTCCTCGAAACCCTAGGAAACCCGGAAGGCGCTTCTTCGTCACCGGGATCTCGCCCCACAGCGTCAAGCGGGCGTGCAAAGGCACAACCACCGTCCCTAGCAAGTTGTTCGATGCAGACCTCTCTCATAAACGTTGACCCCTCTCTTGCGATCCGTCTCACAAGCTGTGCAAACACACAGCCATTGCGTCGCTAGCCTCGTGTAAACGGTAGGATTGGGATCGTCCCACGGTTCATGGGTCAAATCCAATAGAACAATTTGACGAGTCAGTCCCGGCGGCAAAGCATTCGAACAATTCGAGGTGAGGGAGGGCCTCTGGAACAATCAGCCTCGCCGCGGCACAAATGAAACGCCAACTTCCTGCATTAGCGATACACGCTGACGGGCTGCTAAATGCTGCTTCCCGGATATCGGTTTCCCCGGGAATGACAATCGGCAGCAAATGGTGAAATTCAGACGCTGGATAGATAAGCAGATAGGGGGGTAAGGTGTGAGGCTGGTCTGTATCCGCCGACACGCAGATCAAGCGGAAACAAAACAGCAGACGAAGACGCAAGAGAGAATGGTAAACAGCCCATCGCTACGGCAGAAGCTGCGGTTACGGGCCCGAAACGACAGTAACCCAGCTAAAAGCACGCTGTTCACAACGCGACAAGAACAAGGCGCATGTTGCGAAATAGGCAATCCAGCGTCGGTTCAATTGGTTCAATAATCCTCTGACATGACGTAAAGCTCAGAGCACATCCATCAAGACGAACGAACGGTGCCAACAAGCTGGATCATCAGCGTTCTTGCTGAACGCCGATGGTTCGCTTGTGCACAAATTTCGTACACGGCATGATCTTAATACTCAAAATGCAAGACCGTTGGCGGCACATGATTAAAGGCACTTCAAACGCGCGAGCACTTGGGAGAAATTCAGAACTCGATGAAGCACGGGCGTCACGACCATAACGCGGTGACAAAACGTGACTGCGGTTCGGTGTCTGGTTAAAACAGGGAACGCTTGCTGGAATGAATTATCGTTCAAGAGCCACCTCAAGCACGGTGACTGCAGGGCAGCAGCCGAAAAGTCGGCCAAAATACCAAGATTAAGCCTAAAACTCCTCACCTTGGGTCTATAAAACCACTTTCTCAGGGAGTTCATCCTGGCACCGTCTCTTCGACTCTATTTAGCCTGGATCAGTTGGCTCGAACTCTGCAGGTCATCACGGCTACAAAACGAAGTCCCAGGGCAGCGCAAAAACACACAGAAATGCAGTCGCGTATCTGAATGCAGCACAACCACCAGCGGGGCAAAGGAGGTGCGCGAGACCACGAACCAGCGCACGCCTCACGGCAATCCGATAATCTGCAGAAGTGGCTCTGCGCATGCGCCCTGAGCCGCTGTGCCGGCTGTGACTACCACGACTACTATGACGACTTCCGAGCCCGCTTTCAGACCGGATGTACAAATAACCTGACGTCAAGGTGACGTAGTAGATGTCCTCGTTGCCGATGGTTGCGACCACGTTGCGACCATATGTTGACGACGTCAGACAAAATTTTTTTAAAGCAAAATCACATATGCAAAAGTAAATGTACAGCTGATAAATTACATTTTTTATTTGATTTATTTGAAAGGGTTGTTTTGACTGGATAAGGTACAACGAGCATGTGCCGTAGTCCGGTAGCCCTCCGGAATTCCATTAGTTCCATCGCCACCACTGTCTAGGACAAAAACAAACAAACATAGCAAAACAACTTTCGCGCCAGGTTGTGTGAATTTTGTCGGCGTTGGTTGTCTTGCTTGAAAAGCCCAGTTTCTATTGAAGAGAGTCACAGAAAGAAAGAAAGTATGGATTTATCTGCCTTTACTGCCAACAATAAAAGCAGCGCTGTAATCAAATCCGCCGTTCCTGACGTCGCGAAATCATATCCCTGTATGCTCGGGGTTGATGAAGCGGGAAGAGGACCTGTCTTGGGTATGTTTTTATGCCGTTCTGTGCTGTTGTGCGATTGCATTTACTGTAGAAGTATTCGGATTTGGTTCTCCGAAGTAGTTGTAATTTTTTTATGGTTGGATTGACTAGGTACGGATTTTTCAGGGACTTTCATTTACGTACGCGAATGGAAAAGTGATGGCATTTGAGGGCTTGCATCGTAGTGCATACCTAGAAGAAGGAAAGACGGCGGGTCTTCACCCCTCGGTGCTTCAGACTGCCCTACGTTCCTACCCGCTCACTTCTCATCAGTGATTCTCTCCGGTCGTAGGCCCAATGGTGTATGGCATTGCCTATTGCCCCGTGGAATTTGAAGAGGACCTGAAGCGACTAGGTTTTGCCGGTAAGCCGCGGAACCTGCCCATGGGCGAACCCATGTGTCTGGTGGTCACCTCCGCTCTGCTGCTCTCCAACCTAGATTCGAAAACTCTCACTGAAGAAAAGCGGGAGGAGCTGGTGGGTGTCATGGAACAGCGTTCAGAATCCTTGGGTTGGATGGTGGAAGTGATATCGCCCACTGTGATCTGCAATCATATGCTCAACATGTGAGTGGTGTGCTTCAAGTTGAGAACCTTCTTTCATGCATTGCCATCCTATAGCTTGGCCTAAAGCTTCACACTGACAGCATGCCTATGTCTGCAACCTCAGGAGCAAGTACAGCCTGAATGCGATCAGCCACGATTCAGCCATCGGCCTGATCAAGCAAGCCCTTGATGATGGTGTCTGTGTCACAAAAGTAAGTTTCCAAATCTGATAACAAGCCCATAGTTCTGCATTCCTTGTTATCTATAGGTGTGATGAGTAGGGCAATGTATGGTTCACAATTAAAAAAAATAAAGCTTACAAAGGTGGGGTAAAACAAGTTATCTGGAGAGAAAACTGCACCTTCCTCTGCGTCTACTGACAAGTTGTATTTATACTGCAGAGTGTAGTATCATCATGTGAGAAATTTTGGCAGTTTGAAACTATAGCCTCATGTTCCAGGAAAAAATACAGCTGATGGATAGCCAGAAAACTAGGATTTTTCTTGGAAGACACAATTAGGCATTGGAGAAAATCGGCCATCTGCATTAAAAGGGGGTCGTGAAAATTTTTCTGAAATTCTGAGCTACCTGTCTCTTTGCAATGCTATTTTAGGGTTCGGAGTTTTCGGTTTAAACTGATAAAAGTATGACAAATCCATTTTCAAAAATTTGGTTTTACCCGAAAAAGGTTTGTTTTTATGTTCGGCGTCTTCGGTTCAAACCGATAAAAGTCAGCCGATTCCATTTTTTAAAATTCTGTTTTAACTGAAAATGGTCAGCTTTTTAGGGCCGCGTCGATATGGGCGGGGAGAGGGTTGGTGCAAGGTTCGACATTGTGTGACCTCTTCGTGATTGCCCTCTTCCAAGGTTCAACATGCTACAAAAGAGGTCTTGGCTTGTCCTTCATGGGACATCTGTGTCTTTTGTGTGATCGGGTCTAGTATGTCAAATTCTTAGTCCTAAAAAAAAAAAGTTTGGGTGTGAGTTAGTTTATGGTTTTTAGCTTCATGCAAGATCTGCAGCCAGAGTTTAGTGAGTACACGAAATATGTTGTGCTTCAAAATGTTGCGCCGCGTGTCTCTTTTGGCAGTCACATTTGGTTGATTGGCCGATTTCGGATCGGGCAGAGCTTCATCTCCTCAGCCTGCCAGTGTCCAGTGTTAATGTTGAGAGGGCATTCTCAAAGCCCAGGGTCATTAACAGGAAAGAATGTGCGTGGATCAATGAGGAGAACCTTGGCAGTACAGTCGGGGACAAAAAGTCCCCAGGACGTGCAAGCTGTGGCTGAAACGCATTGCTCTGCCATCTACCGGCGGGTCGCCTGGTTTCGAGATCACACAAAAGTGCATGCGCGTCCTACTCTGCTTGCAAACATGTGTATTTTCCCGCTCATCTGCAGCACAGCGCCTAACTCGGAATCGGACGCATGGTACCGCCTCGGAGATAGCGTTGGCGGCTGATGAGCGTCTGCTACACATTCCGAAACTGGAGATACTGCCTGCGGCGTTGCGCCGCATTTCGCCGTGTCAGCGCACCTTGCTTTATAACCAGTTTAGCTTATCGCTCAGTTGAGCTGCCGTGACTTCTTGTTTTATAGGTGCCATGTCAGTAAGCGCTATCTCCGAGGTGGTACCACGCGCCCGATTCCGAGTTAGGCGCCGCGCCACAGAAGAGCGGGAAAGCGCACATGTTGGCAGGCACAGTAGGATGCGCATGCGCTTTTCCGTGATCTCGAAACCAGGCGACCTGCCGGCAGATGGCAGAGCAATGCGTTTAAGTCGCAGCTCGCACGTCCTGGGGACTTTTGTCCCCGACTGTACATAAGTGATTACTATAATAAGATCACGTAATCCTTATGTACAGAAGGTGAAGTTCCATGTTTTTTGGGTACTGATTTGTTAATACTTCAGTGTTTCTTTTTTTTTTTTTTTTTTTCTTTTTTACGGTTACACACATTTGCCAAATAAAGTGCCAATGTTTTTGTTTTTTTTTTCTTTTTCCAATGTATTTGTGCCGTTATTCTTTGAGATCAAGGATCATCTGATCCGGTGTCCGATGGTGTTTCTTTCATATTCACCGAAAACTACCGGTAAACTTTTGTGGGCATAAATATACACCGAAAGAAACCGGAAATTGAATCTTAAGATGAACACGAAAAAAAGTATGCTGAATTTTGAAAAACTAAAAACCGAAAACGCGGAACCCTAGCTATTCCTTTATTATACAAACCACATTCAATCTTTTGATCATCCTGATTCATTTACTAGCGTAAAAAAGATTATTTTGGTTTCCCAGGGAGCTTCCCTTTCAGTTCTACAAACACGTCATGATGGGTAACCGAAAGGAATTTTTGTTTTCCACACAAGATGGCGACTTAGACCGGACCAGAGCCGTATATTGAGAGAGTTTGGCCATACATTGGGAAGTATAGGAGGCCACTGGTCAAAAGCGGGCTGGGCGCATTCCAGGGAGTTTTTACAAGTTCGAATGTGGCTGGCCAGAGGCTGCCACAAAAGGTTGAGAAGGCCGGAAATATAAGCGAAACAAATCGCCTTTGCACACTTGAGGATTGGCATGACTGCAGATCCTCAAGTACTGCTGAGGAAGATTCTGGTAAAAGAAAATTGATGTAAAAACTCACGACCGCTGATCATGGGAAATATTGAAATGCTACGTCCTGTGGCTAACCCACAAAAACAAAAACAGACGTGCTGATAGGAGAGAGGTCACACGCGCGTGTCCCTCCTTCCTACTGGTTTTGAGACGTTCCGGGTTCGAATCCACTTGGGGTTGTAACTTTTTTTATTGCTTAACCTTATGTTTTATTATAATTGTCATCCACAATCAGGTTCCACAACCGCATTCTGCAACGAATGCGAGCCATTGCGGGGCGAGCAGCATAATTACAATGGTTACTAAATGATGGTAGACCCGGGTGTGTTTGAAACCGGAACTCTACCGCAGTCGCATGATATAGTGGCAACTTAATGTTTTTATCACTCCCAATTTATTATTTGAAGATTAAATGAAGTTTAATATCTGTTCAATCTTTTTACATAGCTATCATAGCTATCATAACCTTTTGTTTCTCATACTGTTGAGGGGTGTTGCATGGTCGTTTCAGAGAATCCAAAAAACGTGTTTCAGCATTATTAACAAAACTACAATAATGGCTAAGCAAATTTTTATATATTTGTGAAATGCATTTAAAGATGATAATTTTTTTTTATATTTTGCGTCGTTTTGATATGATGTAGTTCGTTGGTAACTAATTTGTGAATGTCTCTAAAACATGTTTATTTGACATGCTTTGTAAATGTTTTTTGCTTAGAAAACTTTTATTGTAATTTTTAACATTCTGTATACATGTTGTAAACATTTCATAAAATAAATAGAAAAAAAATATTACTATGTGCATGCTTCAGTGTGAAATTGATGGCTGTGCAAAGTACCGTAGTGAAACCTTGGCAATCTCCACGCCTCGAGGTTCAAAATGTTATATCTCCGGAAAAAATTAGCTATGGTGTTCGTGTATAGACCTTTTTCACAAGGGCACCGCCATCTTGAAACATTGTCACTTCCAGTATGGGCGAAAACATTGTTTTGCCGTTGCCACGCCAATAGAATGCATATAGGAGATAAGCGTAACCGTCACCCATTCTCGTTTTGTCTACCGTCTATTTTTTTTACTATTTCCAGGTTGAAATGTTTTAATATTTTTTCGTCGCCCATACCGGATGTGCCTACTTGGCAGTCGGGGGAGAGAGTAAGCGTAAAAGGTCTATAGCTGAATGCTCCTCCCAAGAACACAGCTTCCACATATATATTTTACATAAATATAAAAAAATATGACCCAGGCCATCATTTACGATCTGACGTGGAAACATCCTTGCTCTTTCTTTCTTCGCTCATCTCGGGGCTGGGCGGTATCGTGGTACAAGTCTGTCACAGTAGTACCTTAGAGATACTTTTGAGTATCTGTAATTCTGTAATACGTTTGAAAATGGTATCTGTATTGTATCTTTGTAGTGAAATACATCTACCACATATCAATTCCATGGCAACGCTCTTCCAGGCTTCAATACCTTGTTACATTTGCTGTCAAAAATTAAGTTTCGCATTTTTACAATGAACTGAAAATATCATCTTTTTGGTGTGAGAGGTCCCAGGATTTAGAACATGAACCTGACCACCTCTACAGGGGGAGGCCTGGTTTGCTGGTATATCCCAGAAAAGTCAACCAAACTGAGAAAAAAAAAAAAAAAAATTGTAGAGCCCTTTTATTTCCTGTGAATAGGGAGGTCCAGCGAAGCTGTTACCTTTACGACGTCTAGGACGATGCTTAGAGGACGACGTCTAGGACTACCTCAAGGATGACGCTTAGGACGACCTCAAAGATGATTTCTAGGACGACCTCGAGGGCGACTTCTAGGACGACCTCAAGGACGACGCCTAGGACGACCTCAAAGATGACTTCTGGGACGACCTCGAGGGCGACTTCTAGGACGACCTCGAGGGCGACTTCTAGGACAACCTCAAGGAAGACTTCTAGGACGACCTCAAGGACGACGCCTGGGACCACCTCTCGGATGGCCTCGAGGACGACTTCTCGGATGACCTCAAGGACGACTTCTAGGACGACCTCGAGGACGATGCCTAGAGATGATGACAAGGGATCAGGATCTCACTGTCTAATACTGCCAAGGAAGGCTGACTCACGCTGGTTGCCCCCTCTCTTTATTTTTATTTATTCATACTTGCCACGACCAATGGGGAGTTTTATGTCAACATCTACAGACGCATTTGTTTCCCAGATCCTAGCGCATAACAGCTTTGCTGTAAAAAGTGGTTCGAAGAAAGGCCATATGCGATATCTGGCACTAGCTGCGTCTCGTTTCCTGTAGGCTTGGGAGCACTTAGAGTGACAGTTTGAGATCTGCCCTCACTGCAAAGGAGGGATCATTTAAGCAGACACCTTTTGACAAGCATGGCAAACATTCGTTGGCCTCCAGTACCTGCATGGTACTGGACAGAGGGTGATAATGTTTTATAGCAGCATTCAGGATAGCAGTTGTGAATAGATGAAGAATTTGCAGGGGTGGAACTCATAAACTGTACTTGGGAGCAGCCACGGGAGCAGCTGAAACAGCTGTTTTGGAGCAGGTTGGGAGCAGCTAAAACTACATTCTGGAGCAGGCTAGGAGCAGCTCAGATCAGCTTTCATTGCACTTCAGCTTGTGTCTTGGACAAGCACAGGAGCATTTTCAATTGTGCTTAGCAGCACAGATGAACATGAGTGGTTAGGGACCTAGGTAGACGGGATAACAGTGTAACAGATGTGAAAACTTGAAACTTTGTGAGCCTTAATGAGAATCAAAAAGCAAGTACCTTATGTTTTTGAAGATAGTGCCCTTGTTAATTTCTGAGTGGCTTTCAGCTGCTCAAAACGCAAACCAGCACTGCTTATTGCACAAGCCACACATTCTCGACATAGTAATTACATGTGCGAACCATGTGACGTGCTTAAAGGGATTGTCCGGTCGAAACCGGAAGTACTTAAGTTCTTGCGCTCGTTACGTCGAGGGAGCCTTCATATAGACAAACGTCATTTTTATTTTGATATATGATCTCCCGTTACTAATTAAAACTTACATGAGCCTATGTACGAAACTGCACCCCGAATTTCGCCAGTGTCAATGGCTGACATCCGTAGGTGCTGCGTGACGTCACAAAACGCAAAGGTTTGTCGGATGGTCGGGATAACAAGCGTTGGTCGATGGATGTCATGCATTTTGTTTAGAATTATACAGTCTCCTAGGCAGTATCCTACTGAAATACGGTTCTTTTAACGCAGTTCCTAAGCACGTGCAAAAAAAATCACGCCTTTTAGCAGGATATTACTCGCAGACAGCCATAAGCTTCGAGCAAACGTATGCCGTTTCGCACAAACACAACTGTGACGGACGCCAATCGAACTAGGGGCGCTTGCAAAGCTATAGGATGCAAATTTCGCCTCTGAAGCGGCACTTAGGTACACGAAGAGGCATCTGGGTACACATTTCGGCGGATCCACTGGATCGGTGATGAGGCTGCGGGTAATTCTTTCAGAGGCGACGTCCGCGGGTCGAAGGCAAACGGCGAATCGTTCAAATGAATGTCGTCGCTTGACTTGGACGAGCTTGGTGAATCGTAGCTACGCTCCATTTTCACACGCGGGTCAAACAGATACCAGGCTGCACGCGTGCTAAATACAACTTCTGGTATCATTTCGAGATGGCCAAGCTGTTGGTTTCGGTTTCGCTGCATAATCAAGGTCTGTTCGATTCGGCCAGGAAGTTCTGAACTATAGTCTGTTACAAGCCTAGAAGGTAGCGGCAAATGCCCCTCAAAGGGAATCTTTGCATTTCGACGATAGACTCGCGGCATCAGGATGATTTTGCGTCGGGAGTCACTGGCGGCAGCGGTCGGTCGGTATACCGGTCACCTCGAAGACAAAGGCCTGACGATAGCGTCTTGGCCAAGACAGTTATCGACCGTAACTTTGGCGTCAAGTTGAAGCGAGAATCGGCAAAAAATGCCGATTCTCAGCGTTTTTCCCAGGCCCGTTAGTGGGCGTCCACAGATACCAGCGGACAAAGCATGCATTATTATGCTCAGCTACGGGTACATGCGAGTGCCAACGCACTAAATCCCAGACCTCTGCAACGTATCGGAGTCGTCAATATGCATCCAAGAGCAACTGAAGGCGGGGACTATCAAGAGGGCAATACCTTTCCCGTGTCTGTAAGTAAGAATATCAACACTGTGGATCCCCACATAGCATCAAAAAGAAACTATTTTAACACTCACCACAGGGAGCCAAACCTACGCGAGCAGGTGCCTAAAACGCTTTTAGAATATTATAATCAAGCAAATTCCTACCCTCGGTTATGATCTCAATTTCGCGTCCACCGCGGGTACGTTATTATCATAAATGAGAGGAAATGCAACCTCCGTATCGGCGTGATTGTTAAACATCGCAGACATTTGAGCAACCGCTGCGAAAAATGGCACCGCGAGCAGAGACGGACGAGGAGTGTCGTCTGCTATCGACGTCTGCTCTTGTCGTCTGCTTCTGCACGGACGCTGAACCGAGTCCGGAGCCGGTGCAAGATTTTGAGGAACTCGGTCTGAACTCGTTCAGAACTGGGAGGAATCGAACGCGCCAGTGCAGCGGTCGTGCAACTTCCGGTTGAATCCAATGCACCAGTTCCTGCACTGCCGAACTAGTTCAGCCAGTTCAGGCGAATCGAACAGACCTAAATTGACTGATCCGATTTGGGCGAGGAGTGGGTGGACGTATTTTAATATCGTTGGCACAGCATCACACCTCAGCTTACAAGCCTTCTGTCCGCTTAGAGGTCAGCTCGTAGCTCTCTTTTGTGAGATGACTGCTGCATAAGCGGGATCTCGGTCTTGACGGGAACCCAGTTCCTACGCACGACGACGATCCACTTTGCTCGTCACTGCACGTCTCGCGGAAAAGTGTGGAACGTCATGTCTTGGGGGGCTCGCATGTGCTGCCCGGGGGTTGTGGCACCCAACCGCGTAACAAAAATCTCACCCAACCACGAAACAAGTCGAGCACAACAATAAAAACGAAGCACGCTGAGGCGTTCACTCGCAGGCAAATGACGAGACAAAAACGCCCGCTTTGTGTTTTGTGACGTCAGAGCTTCAATGTTGTCAACGAAAGCAGCGTTTACGCTAGAATGCGATTGGAGCAGTATAAATACAATTACTCACGCAGAGGGGCATATAAAATTCAGATATATCACGTACGATACGTCTTGAGGCGATAACAATGATATTCAATTGTTTTCTCAAATACAAAATTAACCGGACAATCCCTTTAAGCAACGAACGTGCAGTTGTGCGGAGGAACAAGGCAACAAATTTTGAGTTTATACTATTCTGCAACTCAATATCGGAGCAGCAGACTACGATTAACGACGTTATCATATTCGAAGCGATAAGCAGGAGCAAGGTTGAAGTATGCCGAGCAGATTTACCGCTCGCGTGAGAGCTGCTGGCCGGCAAGGTTTCAAATCGGACCGCGTTTCAGTTCTATCAAATCACGATTTATCTTGCGGGAATGCGGTTCCAACTTCTAACGATGAAGTACTAAAAGGAATCTTTTGCTCATTTTTTTTTTAACTAGCTGACGTCCAGATCCCGGGCCGCAGAGCCTCAAGCAATCTAACGCTTAACGACTCGACCTCACCTCAACGGACTTGCTTAACCGCTTATGGTTGAAGAATAACAATCCAGTCGCAGGTGGTGTAGCGCTTGGAATCCGACCCCCAAGTTTTTTTGCGTGCTTCCAACTCGGGATACACAGGGAAAATAAACAGAACAAAGGATTGCAAGGTCGACCAAGCTAAACGCACTCATTGTTGCCAATCGAGTCAATAGAAACCGAAACCATGACAAAACACAATTCTTTGGCGCACGTTTTGCGATTTAATGCATAATGGCGCGAGGTATTGGCTGTGGCGCAGCTTCCGCAACATGGTGCAGGATGGCGCAGACAAATGCGTCTGGCGCAAAATGGCGCAAATGGAGCAGCCATTCCACCCCTGAATTTGAGTTAAAGGGGCAGTGCAACGGTTTTAATGTTGAAAGAATTGCCAGTTTGTATTTTTTATGTTTATACGAGCCCAAGTGACGAAAAATGTGTCACCTTTCCCCGAAAAACTGCTATTCTGCTGTGTAATCGCAAGGCAAAGAACAAATTATTTGCTGATCTGCAGCTGCCTGTGGCGGCTACGGGAACTAAAATGACGGCATCTCTAGGGGTGCGCGGAAGTCAACAAAACCTGTCCCCCTCCACTGCTACATTCGCCGTCAGCACTGTGGCGAACCGTCCTTTGTGTCCATCGCTCGCCGCAACCTTCGACGAGGTTAATCCTTTAAAAGCCGGCAACTGCGAAGGAAGCGGCCGGGGTCTCTGAGGGGAGAACCAAACGGTAAACTACGGGAACCCCCAGAGTACGTCACTCGAAAGTCGGCGTGGAGAGTGGAGAGGCACTTCGACCTTCGATTTGTTTCATTTTTTTTAAATAAGAACTAGAGCTCGCAAGAAAATGTGGTTTTCTGTTTTTAGTTCCATAGGTGATGCAGATTAATTTCCGCTGTTAATTGGCCAAAGTCTGAAAATCGTTGCACTGCCCTTTTAAGGAGAGGTTCATAAACTGACACAAAGAGAGGAATGTTGCTGCTACAATTTGCATTCATGACAAACTGCACTTTCCTCTCTTACTACCTTTTGGGGAAAAAGTTTATCTCTGTTTGTATCTATCTCTGTATTCTGAGATACTCTTTTTTATTGTTTTTGCAGAAGTTTTTTAGGAATATCCCATTACATAAAAGACCTTTGTATTTTGGCCTTAAAATATGTGTATCTCAGTATTTATGTTCCCAAATACTTTTTGGTGTATCTCTGCCTTGCTCCATCCCCACTCCTTTGTGAAGGGGAGAATATGCACTGTTTTTGCACTTGATTGTCTGATTATTTAGAGGCAGTTTCTACTTCATTTGGTCAAAGTCAGCTTCTGGCCTTTCTATACACGCACTCCCTAGTGAGCGGGTTAAAGGGATGGTGAGCCGAAATTTGGATTTCAAAAAAACAATGCAGGAGGTGTAGGCGCGACGCTACAATCCCTACAAAACTACTTGTAAGGCGATATCTCAAATGGACGGCCGTATTTTTGGAAAAAGAGGTTGAGATTGAACCAGGCCGACGAGGTGCGTGACGTCAAGATACCTTGTTTCCTCCTCTCTTCGCTTCGCTCCCTCAGGGTGGCGAGGTGGAGAAGACGCGAGGCCGTTCCCTCTCCTTCTCTGAGAAACATGACGTCAACATTTCTGCCAAATGCGCCTCCTTTTTTGGAAAAAACGGTCATCTGTTCGAGATATCACTGTATGAGTGATGTTTTGGTGTTTGTAGCATCCCGTTGCAAGCTTTTGCCGCGTGTTTTGGGGAATCCAGATTTCGGTTCAGCATCCCTTTAAGAGACTGATAAACTAAACAAGTGAAATGAATGAACCGGCTGTCAAGATAGTTTTATTTGGCAGCCTTTAGCTGCAACTGGTGAATCGTCCAAATCGTGCTTTGCCTGATGCCCACCCTGCCTGGTTGGAACTGCAGGTATATGTGGACACTGTGGGGCCACCTGAGAAGTACCAGGCAAAGTTGCAGGACATATTTCCCGACATCAAAATCACAGTGGCCAAGAAGGCAGACTCCACCTTTCCCATTGTCAGTGCAGCCAGCATCTGTGCCAAGGTGAGAGTTCATGGCACAGGTACAACCCCTTAAGGGGGGACACCACCTTAAAATTGAAATTTTTGAGAAAAAAACAAATTTTCCTATTTTTGTGTGTTGTGGTTCCACAACTATACCTGTTTGCACCTCAAGAACCGAAGTAAAACAAGTCCGGCTCGTCGCGGAACATTACTAATTTCCCCCTTTATGTGGATAATGAAGACATGCAGGTGATTATTGGATTAAATGTATGTTATCAAGACGTACAGGTTCCAAACACCAAAAGCATCGTTTTTTCCTCCGACAACCGAATCTCGTAAGAACTATTTCGCGTTGCGTAGGAACAATGCGCAAAACATACTTTTTTCTTGAGGTGAAAACAGGTATAATAGTGTATACTCCTGAAATTTTTTATTCCAATATCTGACGTATTTATGGAGAAATAAAACATTTTTGGTCAGCCAACGATGCAAAATCACATGTTTTTTTAAATGTAAAACTTCGGTTTCCTATTTTCAAACTGCTGTAACCTTGCACCGGTATGCCCTAAAACGATGATCATACTCTTGTTGGAAAGTGCATTTCTTCACAGTTTCAGTACATTAACTATCTTTGCTTGAGAGTAAACTCTATTTGGGTAAGAACACCATAGAAGTCCAGCTTTCATGTAGAAGAGGCTATGCATATGGCCAAGAATCGAAAAGCCCACTCTGATTGAACACAAAACTGACTAAAACCAGCATTCATTTATAGAAAATCACGTGGGTTTGTCTGCTTTGTATTTCTATGATGCTTGCCCCGTCCATACTTGATGTTGGTTCGTGTATTGCAAGCATACCCAATTCCTCACTCATTTCACAATCAATGTCCACATGCCGACAACAAAATTACACTCAAAGAAAGCGTCTTAAGCTCGGACTCGCTCAGCAAAGCCATGCTGGAGATTGGGTGCAAGCAGAAGGCACCATCTACGCTCTTGGAGCCGTTCAGTTGCCACCACCACCAGTAAAAGCAAATGTAGCGGTGTGGAAACTTTAATCAATTTTTCTCAGTTTAACTTTTTTGCAGCAACTTTCGTTTTAGGAAATCTATCATTTCAGTGAATCCCTGAATGTATTCTTTGCTGTGGATGTTTCTGAACTGAAATTTAATGAGGAAGGGGGCTAGATATATATTTTTCTATTTAAAGAAAGTTCTGATTGCCAAAAAGTAGAGTTTTGATGAGGAGAAAATGCCCCATTATGTGGAATGCTTTTTAAATTGACATTTTGTATAGAAAAGACATGGATTTTAAAGTAAAAAATAGATAGCCCCCCCCCCCCCCCCTCCCCCCACCATATGTTCTCGTTAAGGCTGAAGCTTAGAAATGCTCAATATTCTCCAGCAATATTATATGATAGATTTCCTCTCCAAGTGAGGCAACTTACATCAATAGCTGTGTACCTCCCCCTGTAGCTTATCGAAAAATAGTCCTACAGAGATGAAATTTCATAGAGTGCATTTAGGCAACGAGATGAAAAGGTCCTCCAAATTTCATTAATATTGAGCGACTGGTTTAAAAATCGGCACTTGAAGGTGGTGTCACTAAAGACCCCTTATATCAGGAGTCTCAAACACACGGCCCGCGGTTTGCAGGCAACCGGCTACGAATTCCAGTTCCCATGTATTGAGCGCTAGAAATGGCATGCGCCATAGCGATCTGATATCGTCGACTCATTTTCGCTCGAAAAGTAGCTCTGCTCTTTTAACGTACTGTCGAGACCAGTTATAACGAAATAGTGGCTGCAGTGAAGCAATCACGATTTCCTATTCCCATTTGCACTTTTTCAATGCATTTGTGTCTGCTTATAGCGAAGGAAATTGAGCAACTCCTGCGGATATAGCGAAGATAAATTTTGTGATAATTTAGAAAAAGAATAAAATTCAGAAAGTTTACTAAGTCTTCAATTGCCGCACTTTGCTGCCGCGGCCAAGAAGCCACCCAGAACAGGCTGCAGAAAATGCTGGAATGGCTGCCAGCGGCAGCGTCTGCAACGTCGTCTGTTCCCCGCTCCTTATCTGAGAAGCAGCTTTACCGCATCGCACGCGGAGAAGCCGTCGTGGCATGTCGATAGGGGTTTTCGGAGGGCTAGCGACAACGTGCCGGCGGAGGTGATGGAGAGCCTAGATTTAAGAGAGGGGGCAGTAAGTATGCCTGCATTTGATTGTCGCGTGGCCAGTGTGGCGAAGAAACTGGGCGTAGAGGCAGACACATTTGCAGAAGGTGAACGCTTTTGAGTTTTGACTGCTTGCATGCTGCAGCTCGTTTGGCAAACGCGGTCCACAAACCATGTGACACCGATCGAGCAGTTGCCCTATTTCTTAAATCTAGGCTCTCTATACCGATGACAGACAAGCTTGAGCGCAAACTCGGTGCCGTGCGCGCTTCTTTGTTTGCTTCGTGATCAGTGTCGGCATCTGGTCAGTGAGGTCGCTCTTGTGCAAAAGTCTGCTTCACTCAAGCACCGATTCGGCGAATCATCGCTACTCAACAATGGAAAGTCCCGGCACCGCCGGCACCTCGACGGGAAAGACGAAGGCAATCCCCTTGAACCAAAAGCGTGCCATCCTCGGTGGAGTGCGCATAAATGAAAGAATGCCGTCCACCGCCGGGCGTCCTCCGCGGGGCCGTCGTAAATGTTGACCCGGTCCGTACGTTGCAGAATCTTTTTTTCAATCAGAGTTTCTCGCAGTTGGCGAGAAGCAACTCCGATTTAGCAAAGGATGCGTGCAGGGCAGAGCCGTATATGGGGAGAGTTTGGTCAGTCTATGATCTCGCCGCCGTAACGGTCTCCTCCCGAGTGAGCCAATCGGCACGCGGTGCAGAGCGAGAGGCATGAGCGCATGCGCGTGAACTCCCGGCTGCTCCCAGCTGAGTGGGGAGGGCCGCCATTTTCATTCATTCTCCTGGCGTAATGCGTGGGACCGGCTTCTAAATCTCGATTATTTCCTTTTATATCGCTGGCTCTGGCAAGAAAATGACATACTGTTATTCCTCGGTGGGTTAAAAAGCTAATAAATGAAGATTTTTCGGCGTATGCCCACAAACTTTTATTCAGGCGAAAAAGAAGTCGGCCCGTAGCAGACGACGCGTAGCCTCAGCAGTGCTCTTCTCCGACCAGTCTCCGACAATGTTGCGAAAAAATGGCGGTCGTCTCTTCTCTGCTCCCTTCTTTCTCTCTCGCTCCTTCGGCGCTCTCCTCCCTTTCATTTCCTTTTCTCGATAAACATGTGCCCGTGACAGCCCATGTTATCTTTTTTGTTTTTCATGTTATTTGTATGAGTTCATATATAACGAAGAAGTAAATATAGCGAAGCGATTTCCGATTCTCGTTGACTTTATTATAACCAGTCTCGACAGTACTCACATAGTTTTTACCGTATTTGCACGAATATAACGCGAGTTTTTTTTCGAAATTACGTGCTCCAAAACGCACCTCGCGTTATATTCGGAATCGAGTTCAGCCGCGAGGCACGCGAGTCTGGAGAAAGCCATCCCTCCGGTTCAATGCAAAATATCCGGCGGGAAAAGAAGTGGGGGTGTGGAAGGGAATTTATTAGCTATTGGGCCACGTAAAAGGGCAAATAGAAAACATAAAAAAAAATTTTTTTTTTTTATCGCTTTTGCGTTTGTACAACGCGCGCACGCCGCAGAAACTCGGCGCGCGCGCGCGCTATGTGGGAATGCGGGCACTGGCCAATTCGAGCCAAGTCAAGCCGGACCAAGTCAAGTGAACACAAGCCAAGCTAAGACTGGCCAAGACCACCAACCGCGTTTACGCAATCGTGCAACACGAGGCATTTGTTTATGGAGAGGAACCAGAACAAGAAGTGTGATCGTGTATCGGATTCAGCAGTCTTTTTTTTCTGCCTGCGCATTGTTTAGTTTCTGCTCCAGTGTGATCTGGTGTTTGTGTGATGGTGCTTCTGCTTCGTGCCTTGTTTGGATTGTGGGCTGCCGAGGAGCTCAAAGAAGCTCGCACAAAAGAAAAAGGAACTACCAGACAAGCAGGTGCCGTGCTGCTGCTTATTGCGTAGTCGCCAAGTGGATTGTAAACGGAAGGACCTGAGCAGCGAGGATGAGCGCAGTCAAAACATAAACTGATATTTCTTCTATTTCCATTGACTTTTCACATCTGCTATGGCCCCGAGTGCGAGAAATTGACGCGGCCTCGGCTCGCGTTATAATAGTAATAATATTTTTTTTTTCTTTTTGATGGCATCAAAATTTGCCCTCGCGTTATATTCGTGGTCGCGTTATATTCGTGCAAATACGGTACTTATCTGTGAATCTGCCCTTTGTTTCACTTTAATTTTTGCTTCTCAGCTTTTTGTAATGTACAACAATTCCACTACTAGGCTGCAAGTGCGAGCTATTCGTTGAAAGATGCATCTCAGCTGCGCAAACTCTCGATTGGCAGGAGCAACTGCCAAAGGTAAAGCTACGAGCTCAAGATTCTCGCTTTCAAAATATATCACCATTAAAAACAAGCATTTGTTCAGAGTGTATTAAAAATTGTCAGGAAAGCAAGAACTGTCAAATTGATTGATTGTTTTATACATACATGTTGAGCTTGGTTAATTCCTGAGTGAATCGAGCAATGGGAACGATAGTGTACTTGCTCTCCTATTCTTATAAAAACGCCAGCAGCCCAGAGTAGTCATATAAACAAATCAAACCTAAAGTTGTCACTGGCAAAACTGAGTTTACTAAAGCATAGAGCACAACGTCTCTTTTCTTTAAAATCTTTCGACCTCCCCCCCTCCTCTTTCCGGTGTGGGCTATCTGGCCCCTACACTCAAATGCAGGGACGGCGCCAGGCTTTTCATAGTGAGGGGGCAGTGGGGAGGCGCACGGCACTTTTGGGGAGGCATGGGCTTTCGATCCCACTAAAAGAACAAATATTCAGGGACGATGACTTGGCGCATCGGGAATTTTTAATAGAAATCAGCTCAGTTTATTTTATTATTTTACAACCTATCTACAACTCTGGTTAATGTAGCATTTCACGTACAAAATATTCAGGCATGTTTACATTCCGCAATACTAAATAAGCACGCTCACGCTTGTCGTGACTCATCATCCGCTCTTTAGGCAGTCCCCTGCACCGCGAAAAACCGGAGCACGTCAGCGATCATGTAGATGTAGTGACAATTCTCCCTTCTTTGCTGAATACGCCTGGCAGTAGAGGAACACGGCGACTGATTTAGCCGCGCCACTTTTCTTCATCTGCTTGAAGGAAGCCGATGATGTTTGGGACATCTTGCGTGCCGCACTGTTGGAGTGGCGTCGTAGTCCGCCTTCCTTTTGAAGAGCTTTCTTCCAGTTTCGATAGCCCTTTGTCAAAATACAGCACTTCCACTTTTTTACCCCCCCCCCCCCCCAAATACACAAACACTTTCAGCTTTCCTTCAACCTCCTGGGACAGTCTCTCGAAGGGACTCCGTGCCCCAGGGTCACGAATGATGGGAGCATGGCAGTTCTCGAACCGCCAGGCTCCGACCTATACTCTTTCCCGAGCACACACAGTTGCCGTCACCAAAGTTGCTTCAAGGACCCCATAGAGACTTGAAATAAGCAGGATGACCTAGACACATCAAAGCCGCCCATTGGGAACTCGCCAGTCGGCCTGAGCGTCTCAGGACCTTGTGAGATTTCCTCGGTCAGAACATGAACAGTGCCCTTGAGTTCCTTTGTCTGGCAGGTACGAAGCGACGGCGCAGAGCAGATGGGATTCCAAGTCTCTCCGAGTAACCACTTGGGTGAAGCTACTTTCAGGAAGTCTTTTACGGTTGGCGACAGAGGAATTGAGTGGTAGACGACGCTCCTTGGCTTCGGCAAGCCATACCGATATTCATGCATCGTTCTTCATGTGGTACGTAAAGAAAATAAAGCGGACGGCACGAAAAAGTTGAACACGTCCATGAGACCTTTTTAGGCTGGCTATCCTTCAAGCCAATGCCTTTTCCATGGGACGAGGAAATTAGGAAAATGATGAGCAATGTAGCGCATGCGGGCCTGCGCCGGAAAATTAGGGTGAAGGGGGGGGGGGGGGGTGTAAAGGCTGGCATATTTTTGGGGTGGCAGGACAAATTTTAGGGGAGGCATCCGCCACCCCTCGCCTCCCTTTGGCGCCGTCCCTGCTCAAATGAGTTTGAGACCACTGCCTTACAGTATAAAACTTGTGAAACAAACTTCAGTTAAACTGTTTCACTCTCCTTTCCTTTACATTTTTGTTTTGATGTGGTGATACCCTGTTTGATCGTTTGCAGATTGAAAGGAATTAAGCTTTACCTAGAACTTGAAGCTGGCTATGCCTTGCGAGTGTCGTTTGACACGGTATTTTCAATGGCGATGTTCTTTCCCAGGTTGCTCGAGATCGTGCCATCCAAACATGGAGATTTCCGGAAGGCCTAAGCTTAAATCCAGAGGAATATGGCTCGGGATATCCTAATGGTGAGTTGATCTAGGTCAAACACTTTCCTTCCCACTTTACTCGAGAGGAACAGCCAACAGGTTACTTTACAGCAAAAGTTGTGGGAAAGGTGTCTTGCTATGTGCCCAACCCAAAAGAACAACACGGAGCCAGGATTTTTCATACAACAAACTACATTTATTTGTAATATATGAACGAATGTAACAAATCGACACTGCTGCGACGTGTACCTTCTCCAAGAAGGTTTTCCCATCTCTCTCCAGGTGGGCGGGGCCCCAGCACTTTGTAGTTTTCCTTGGGTGCGGTGGTGGCCTTGTGCCATGGTGTAAGGTCGGCTCTTTAGGTGAGGAGACTGTGGCCAGCTCCTCGTAGTAGGGCACAGCCGGGTAATCCCCTTTCTCCTGTGTAAATCCTTCCCCTACAGGGCGCTACAAGCGGTAACTCTGTGCGACCGGCCGATTTACCCGACAAACTGTGCACCCGACCGTCTGCGTTGAGCCCTTACTGATATCTTTTTGATCACCGTTGCAGTGCCACTGAGAAATGATCCTGCAGTTGAGTGCACACTTATACTCTCTAAACGCCATTGGAGATAAGAGAGCTTGAAAGGCCTGAAAATCCACTGCATGAAAGTAAACTGCCAAAATTGAGGCATGCTTCAAGGAACACAAACAGACATGCCTTTGGGGCTCGTACTATAATTTTCAGGATAGCATTGTTATTTCATAGGCATTTTGAATGCTCAACTTTTCACTTAAGTAAGAAAAAATTTCACGGTGGTCGTAGCATGGATTGCTCTAACGTGCTTTTTTCTTTCCTTGCCTTTCATGGAGCACCTTGTTGACAGGCTCTGCCCTTGTCACGAAATTTCTAGCGCCAATCAACCTCTCATTTCAAGAGGATTTCAACACACGTCCCAATTAACGAGCAGGCGTACGTGGCTTCACTTAGCAGTGTACACATCTTTTTCTTTTTTTCCTTCGATCAAGGATAGTTGAGTTAGGCTTTTCTTTGACGGCACTGGTGACCACCATTTTAGCTGCGCTAGGCTGAGGGGGGCGGATACCAAGGTGTAAAATCCTCGAATCTATTCCTGCTCGCTGCTATCTAATTCAACATCGTTATATGCAGTGTCAAACATCTTGTCGTTAGTTTCGCCGTTTTTCTTGGACTGCTAACATCTTTGTGCATCACAGCCTGGAACACCGGCATGGTGCGACATTGGTGAGCACGGGACGCAAGTGCTTTGCTCCGAATTGTAATTCCGGTTACCGGAGCTGCAAAGGAAAAGTAACCTTGTTCAGCGTTCCTTCCGATCCTGAACATCTGACGCAATGGGCACGAGCCATTCCTCGCAAGGACCGGCCACTGACGTCGAAAGTCATCATGCACACAGAGGATGTAATATTAAAAAGCAAGTATTACAGCAAACTCGGGGATGCAGTACTATTGCTCGGCATTCTGAAACAATGATTGTGCAACTCATAGTGTGGATCAAGAAGGCAGTTAGACTTGCCGTCAATTGAAAAGTGTTTAATGGCAGTTGAATCACGGTGGAGCACTGCCAAGCATGGGCAATATAGTTTTTCAAGGGAGGCGAGGAATGCATTCTTTTTTATCAATCCTCCAGATTATTCATTGATTCTCTGACTTGGCACACTGTGATATATTGCTATGTTTGATAAGTAGTGCTTTCAGTCAGCTACATTTTTTATTGTTCAATGACTTGATGGTCGTGGTAGCTAGTTGGATACTATTTGAAGTAAGATTGTGGGTGTTGTATTATTTTTCCAATGCGTCCTTCATAAAACTGTCTTCTTCTCTTAATAAGTATAGCTACTATAAGAAGCATTCTACAGGCTTCTAAATGTAAAGGTAAATGTGCTGACGACAGACAAGTGATTTTCTCAACAAACTTTATTTCAATAACCTCCGTGTGCAAGCTTTCTGACTCCATGCCTACTCTATATAGAATGGAGTTTGGAATAAGCGTGGGGAAGGCAATTTAGAAATAAACAAAAAAGAGTAATTGATTAGCTGATTTGCACTGCACGAAAATGTCTGACATGATATGCAATTCAAAACAACTGAAAATCAAGTGAAAATCACGAAAGATATTTATTTTTTATAAATGAATGCGCGGAGCATCTAAAGCATCTAGATATTACAGACACTCACTAATCTAGTAATAGCATTGCAAAAGAAAATAAAACGGCATATAAGCTGTTTGTTGGTCCGCTATTTGTGGACCAACAAAAAACGGATCTGTTTGTTGTCCTGGTTTACCACTCTGGCATAGTCTGACTTGGGCCGAAGCAAGTAGACAATAAAGTACAGTGTGTCCCAAAAAACAATTTAAGATTTTTTTAATTGCAAAAATTAAATATGCATTGCAGAACGCTCATTTTCCGCCCAAAAGGTAGCGCTAGAGATCCGAACCAGATGGCAAAGTTTCAGCACTAACTTATCTTATTCAAAAGTTATAAGTGATTTTCTGAAATTGTCAATAAAAAAATGGGGCTCATTTTCACGTTTTCGGCAACTGGTGCCATAGAGCTTTATGTATTCAAAAGCTCTGTTGGCCGTCGGGGAAAATTTCAGAAAATCACTTGTAACTTTTGATTAAGTAACGGTTAGTGCTGAAACTTTGGCATCTGGTTTGGACGTTGTGCGCTACATTAGGGTGGAGAATGAGTGTTCGGCGATGCATAGTTTATTTTTGCGGTGAAAGGAGCCTTGTAAATGTTCTTTTTGGGACACCATGTAGAAAATGCTTGCCTTACCTAGAACGGTAGCCTCACTCACGCAAGCACCTGAGAGTGCCGATCATGCAGCTGAGACAGACGGCCCAGTCTGTACCCGAACCGCCTGCCCTATAAAACTGACCCGAAGCTTGTAGCACCATCCAAACGCGAAGCCAAGAAGCCTAGTATGCGTGGGGACATTATCTGGTCTCGGCAGAGAGCCGTGTCTCCCCACCTGAAGAGCCTTTCTTAAACCGTGCCTTGTGCCCCCCAGGTGCAGTGGTGCCCTCTGGTTTCTACAAAGTCCAACCGTTGTGATTTCTATTGTCTGATTTTGATTGGAAGCATGCGACAAAACATTGGCACCAGGGTTAAACTCCTAGCCTCCTAGCAGAAGCATTTCGCTTTGACATTGTGTGTAGCAGCCAACCTTGGTTTCTTACCAATGCTAGCTTACCTGAGCACAGCGCTATACAGAACGTTCGGAGCCACAAGTGGCACTAATTTTTTTTACTCAAGACCTGGAAATTGAGAACACAGATCCCCTTTACATGCTGGTAAAAATGGGCACAATCATCTCAATCCCAGTATGTCTACTTGACCTGCTGGCGAATGAAGAGCAATCTGATAACGAGAGGAGAGAAAAGTACTTCTCATCTAGATTTTATTAATTATTGGCACTGGTGAATGTCGTCCCATAATGATTTAAGGATCGTTGAACACACTAGCACTTCGTAGAGGCATATTCCAGTGCAGATAAGTATAAAACATATTGGTGCATCGACATCCTTGCCGCTTACAGCTGCAGCGGAGGCAATTGAGCCCAAGCTCTGAACAACTCCTGCGGGTTGAATTACTTGAGAACGCATACTGAGCAATGCTGGACATGGGTAGGTTTCCGAATGTCAAGGTGCAAAACCTTTACTCCGAAGTGAGATCTAGAAACACGGCCACAGGAAGATGCAGATGCGGCCAAGACGCTGCGGGCACATTAGGAGAGGCCGAAGCAGACAGCGCTTCACTCTGCGATATAACACAGACGCTGTCGTTGGTGGTGCTGCCAACCAGCTGCCAAGGTGCAGCGGTGTGCCCCCTTTAGGTGTTGCATGCTCCTAATGTAAAGATGGCTATGAGCAACATGTTGCCTTAATAATAGGACACAAGTGGAGTATTATACTTGACATTTGTTGAGGAACTTGTGTCGTTAAATATATTAAATACAAACCAGGGTTCCCCTCACGGTGCACATCAGTGGTTTTGCCACCCAACAGTCTGGATGTCTACGCATACCTAGGGTTTCCCGCCCACCCAGGCACGTAGCCAGGCGGGGGGGGGGGGGGAGGAGGAGGGCCATGAGGCCCGGGCCCCCCTCAAAATCTTCCATTTTGCTAGGACCTCCTCTCCCCCCTCCCTTCATACAGCATTTTGCCATCGGCAACCCCCCCCCCCCCCCCCCCCCCCCCCCCCGAAACAAAATCCTGGTTACGTGCCTGCGCTCACCTCCATATATTTTGCCGCGGTTGGTCGGCAGATTGTGCAAAAGCACTGTACCCCAGGTTGTCGCACTTGGCAGACTCGTGCAGCACCACATGTGGGTGCAGATCCTTACGGGCGACATCACTTTCTCCAGAAATGCACTACAAAAAGCACTACCGGCCGTCGCGATTGGCGGCCACACTGTCGAGCAAAGTGCCAGGAGGGGATCCCCCTTTTCGGCTTTGTGGTTGTCTGGTGTCCCTATCTCTGGGGAGAAACAGGGGCTCCGGAACCGGGGGGGCAGGGGGGGCGTCCGCCTCCCTCATGTTTTTTTTGTAGGGGTCATACCCCCCCGACGCTGAAGGCTGACCCACAACCCTCCCTTAATGTAGTCAGAGCAACATTCTAAAGCACCTTACAAGCTTGAAGCGGAACAAGAAAGGACAGCGATGTTTTGTCGGGACGAGAATTGGTAGTAAAGCTGATACCCCTGTTAAGTGCTGGAGTAAACGTTTCTTCTGAGCCAGCCTTGAGGCGCGCGTATTGGTCACATCTTAATCACTGGCAGCAGGACGGGGACAGCTTAGGAAAGGCACCTTTCTACCATTCCTTGTCATCGGAAAGGATGGCAGGGAGGAAGCCTCCCTCCGGCTCTGGATAAGCCTCCCCAAACGTAAAACTTCTTGCCGTGGGAAATTGGTCTCGGGCAGAGCGCTTCGACGAAGAGCAGTCCGGAGCATATGTCCTTGGAGGTACTTCACACTCTCTTTGACGAGTTTTGCTTGAGATTGGCTCTTTCAAGCTCGGCCATGCCAATACCGTGCCAATTAAGCGCACTGATCCCATAATGGCCGGAGAGGGTTCAGAGCTGGCTTAGCATGGGAGGCGCCCCTTGAAGTTTCTGCACGACGCCTAGACGCGAAAAGCATTTTTGCCATCCGTCAATCATTTTCGTACTTTTGTTCGGTGTGACAGAAGAGGCCACAGAAACGCTCTTGCGTGCTAGAGATTTTGAAGACCTCTTTTTGTTACTCAGAAAAGATTTCGGCTAAACAAAGGTCGCTTCCTCCATTTCGGTTTTTCCGCGCTTACGATCTTCAAAGTTGGAGGAGGAGGAGGGGGGGGGGGGGGGGGGGATCTGCACTGCAAGCATGTGAGCCTTGACCCCCGCCCACCCGATCAGAATTGACTTCCGGAGCCCCTGGGGAGAAACCTTATCAAAATCATCCAATCAATTGCAACTTCTGTGTACTATATGCTTTATTGGAGCGTTCATCCGGAGCAACTCCTCGGTGCACGAAATCAAGCAGTATGAGTATTCCCAGCAGCTACCACTTGACCACTTTAGGATGGCAGGACTGTCTTTCAGTTCCTCTGCTTGCAGTGCGAGCTCTCTGCCTTCAAGGTCACTTTGAATGTGGAGCGTGCATGCACGTTCAAAACGTTACCGAAGGCAGCAGCTAGTACTCGTCACAGAATCAGTTAAAGAACCTTGCCAGTCTTGTCCTGTCAGTGACTACAGTTAGGGTGCCGTAAAGTATAATCATGAACATCATGCGTCATCTGAGTCTTTACTGCTTTGGGGTGTCGTTTTGCTTTCAGATCCTGCAACAAAGAAGTTTCTCTCGGCGCATGTGGATAACGTGTTTGGGTTTCCAAGCTTGGTTCGGTTCAGCTGGTCAACAGCGGAAAAACTACTCGAGGATAATTCTGCTACAGTCTCATGGTGTGTTTTCTACAAGACATGATCTCTCTTTTTTACTTAAGATGATATGTGCTTGGCCAAACTTTACGATACGGTTTCGAACACTGCCTCATCTCTTTTCTGCCATGTGTCAGGAGGTTGCTAATGGCCCAATTACTACAGTCGACTCTCATTATTTCAAAATCTGTTAATTCAAAATTGCGGATAATTCAAAGTAACATGCTGGTCCCATCCTATGCGTATTTATAAGAGGAAACTCCTGATAATTCAAACTTTGCTTTATTCAAACAAATTTTCAGCCCCCCTCAAGTTTGAATTAATGAGAGTCGACTGTACTGCCCAAATTTATGAAGAAATTTTTGATGCTACGATTATCAGCGATATGAGATGCATTCAGCACACAGTGTGCTGGTCACAGCGGCAGAGATAAACTGATAAAACCTGCACCTTGCGCATCAACATCTTTGCTCAAATTTTAGGTGGATTGCACTTTGTGAAAGCAGTTTTCACCAGCACCACAAGTACTCTTTCCCACTAATCAGGTGGCACAGCCAATACTTGCCGGTCGTTGCTTTGACGATTGCATCTCACATTGTGGACAATGGTATGAGGGGTGTTCAATAGGTTTGACTTCCTGGGCTGTAACTTTTTATCCACTGATAGAATTGAAAGATGTTACATTCAAGTGAAAGTTTGGAATCTCCTCTCTCCCAGGATCACATCACTTTTTTTATATAGTCCCCACCAGTGGCGACGCACTTCTGCCACCGGTGCACTAGTCTCTGCATACCGTCGTGGTAGAATGAGGGCGGCTGTTGACGAGACCAGCAGTGCACTGCATTGGTGACCGCCATCTTTGGACGCAAACCATGTACCATTTAGATCAGGGGTGGTCAGACGAACATAGGCAAAGAGCTACGAAAAAGAACCATTAAGCAAAAAAAGCAGTAAATGAGGGGCATGGAAGTTTTTAGTTTCATTATTCTCCATTGGGGGACACAAATAATTCCTCTTATAAACCAATCGCTCATAAGTCTTTTTCATAATGCATCCTTATTTGTGATACAAGCGCCTTAAAGTTTGGCTCGAATAATGTTGTTGCGGTCCTGAGCAGCTCAGGTCGCATGCTATTTTAATTTTAACATCTTCATTTTTAAGAAGAGTGCCTCAAAGCAGTAGGTAGGGCGGCATAAGGCTGCCATAATGCAAGCTGGAGGGGGTAGTACTTTGTCCAGGGTGCTGCGAACTGCATTTGGACCAGTAAAGAGCAGCATGCGGCACGTAAGCAGAACTTTGGCCACCCGTGTCTTAGATGTTCCTTCATCTTGGGAAACAGCCAGAACTCTGATGGCACGAGTTTCTGGCTGTAAGATGGGGAAGGCAAGACGTCTTGGAACTGCAGCTCCTCCAGCACGGTGTTGGTGTCATCAGTAGCCACCCTCATTCTTGTACAATGGCATGCAGAGACTAGTGCACCAGTGGTGGAAGTGCATCGCCACTGGTGGGAACTTTATCTAGGGGCATCGGTGGCCAAGTGTTCAAGTGCACCTCAGCTCAGAGAATGTGGAGCAAAAGCTCAGGCTGCAGAACCCAGGGGATCCATGGTTTCAAGCCCTGCCTGTTTTGATCTGTATGAGCAGCGTACCAGCGTGATTCACGGTAAAGATCCCGGGCTAGCAGTGGTACTCCACTGGTTAAATTGTTTATCTACAGTGTAAACCCGTGTCGGCGCACCACGAAGGCGGACCGATTTTATGCTGTACAAACACAAATGTCAATTTGGTTTTTGATCTGCTCCTGGAAAAAAGGATATTCCAAACTTCGATTTAAATGTAGCATCTTTCAATTCCATCACTGTATAAAAAAGAGACAGCTCAGGAGGCAAAACTAATTGAACAGCCCTCGTAGTACTTGTCAGATTGGTGCCTAACTTCCTCAGTCTAAAAATTTATATAGTTTTTCTTTTCACTTCGTAGGAATTTTCTTTTTTTTTTTTTTATAAAGGTACTCTGCAGCAAAGTTACAGATTCTATTTAGTATACCAAATGTACAGTTGGCAGCAAAAGTTTGCGGGACACGGGAACACCAGCCAACATTACTTTATGCACTTTCTGACGGTGCGCAGCCACTCTCAAGACTCGTGTTCTGGGAATGCACTTCCTTTCATGCTTGCAGTCATGCCTTGCTTACTTGCTTCCATCCAATGTGCACGACGTAACAGGGACCGGCGCAAGGTGCCACGAAACAACATTTGGTGCATGCAAGCTTTGTGACCCATCACGGTGGCTGAGGCAGGCGTGTCGCATGATGGCTGGCAAAGAAGCCTCTTATACCGGGTCCAGTTATCTCGTGCACGTCGGACGGAAGCGAGTAAAAAAGGCATGACTGAAAGCATGAAAGGACGCGCATGCACAACATATGGTCCTTGAAAGCGGTGGCACGCCGTCAGAAGGCGCAGTAAGTCATTTCAGCTGGTGCTTCCGTGCCCGCAATCTTTTTCAGGCGACTGTACCTTTTAGTGTCATCTTGGACAATTTCAGTTCTGAAACATTGAATAGATGTGGTGCCCATGCAAAGGAATTGTGCCCCCTAATAATATAAGATAGGGGTAGGCACCTTTTACAGCAGTGGGCCAGATGTTTGTAGAGCATATAAGAGCGGCGAATTTTACACTCGACAGCCGTCATTCAGCTCGACACACATAGTCTCTTTGAGAGGCCTGTTGTATCACTCGATGCACAAAAAGCTGTCTAGTAAACAAGTCAAAATAGAAGTGTGATTGTTGCCTTTCTGCGAGTAGACTGACAAAGAAAATATTTATGCGGCAGTATGCGTTGGTGTAAAGTAGCAAGTAGGGCTCTCGTGCAAACTACATCTCAGCCCGAAGCTGCAGTGAGCTGGGTGTAAACATGTAGGCCGGTCCCGCAGGATGTTTTCCCCTAGCCCGGCACAGCCTGGGGCTGAGATGTAGTTGTTAATCTCACGAATAAGCTCGATTTAATTGAAGATATCTCAACTCCAACCACCCAGCAAGGCTGCCATGTTTGGAAAGATGTATGACATCCTCTGCCGGTGTCTTCCACTTTCTCGCCTTCTCCACTTCTTTTCCTGCTGAAAATCGATGTGCAGAGTGTACAAAGGCCAGCAATGACCTGTCATAAAAAGAGAATAATTGATAAGGTGTAGCGAGCCCTTGGCGGGAGAAGGGCGGCCACTGGCCGGTTACGTCAGTTCTGTCACGTTTGCCTGGTCACTATTTAATCCTTTCCATACTCGTACGCCATCAATCATAAGTGGTCGATAGTTTCTGCACAGCACCAAAATTAATATTTGGCATACCGTAACATGTTGCACCATCTTGTGGATAACCAAAGAACTACATTTACGGTTTCGGTTCTGTTTTATGCTTTCTTATAAGGTGGTGAGCTTTCAGAAATAAATCTTTGCACCGCAGTGGCACCTCCCAAACATGGCGTCCTGCTGGCATTGGAGACCGCTATGGAGATGATGTTACTCGTGTGATTTAATTGCATCTGTCTCTTGTTTTCTGGAGGGCAGTAACAGTGAGGACTGTAGACGATGTTGGATCATCTGATTTTTGTATCCGAGAGCAGCGTTTCATTTCAGAGGCCCTGAAGATCCACAGGTACTTGTTGATGAGTAGGGTTCTAACTTCCCAGGCTACCCTGGGCCATGGCACATGTGTCATAAGTGCTACAAGTCATAAAAATAGCAGAAGAGGCTAGACTACAAGCAGTGCAATAAGATTATCAAGGTCTAGCACAAAATCTGTGTTCTGCAGGACATGCACCACTGCATACAAGCGCTTCTCTGAATGGCACAGCCACCACAGAAGCCCTTTCCTACATATGTATCAAGGAAAGATATTATCAGCTAGAGCACTGTAACTTACGGAAGTGATAGCATTGGCAGTGATGTGATTGCTGCCCCAATTGCGCCAAACTGCACCAAGGGGCTAACCCTGCTACGTACTGCTACATTTTGCCAAAATATGGGCAGTCTGTGCCAAGCCTGCACCAAAGGACCAATTTCGGTCGCCTTTCAAACCCAAAACTAAACTGAGCATGCGTGAGCCAGGTGGCACAAGCGGCCGCCCGACACAAAGTACCCTGCATTAATTGTCCATCCGGTCTTGCATTGTTTTCCCCACCGTCTCGCGTTTCGCGCTCGTCGTCTCATGGGTCTCGTCTTGCGTCTTTTTGAAATTTTTTCAACAATAGATGCGGACGTGTGTGGACGCTCCAACGCTAGTATGCTGGGTACCAGCCATACCGTCATGCTATGAAACGAAATCATGTTTTTGTGCGGGGGAGTTACTTAGTTAGCTGAAGCACTTGCTCCTGAAAGCAACGGCCGTGGGAAAACTATTTGGTTCCTGCCTCCCTGTCCGGTGGCAATCAGTTCATCGAACGACGTTTCATCGACACGCGATGTTTCACCGACAAATCGTTTCATCAACACCTCAGATTAGCTTTCTTCTGTAATAAGCTGCATGAGACTGTCACCGCGGGGTGGCATGTACAAGTCGGTCAGGTGGGTTAACATTTTTGTAACGAACCGCTGCAGACTGTCGCCGCGAAGCAGTGTGAATACAGGTGAGGGGGTGGGTTAACGCGCACCCCAGTGATACACGCGTTACAAAATGTCCCTACAGCGTGCAATTCGCTAAATGAGTGTCGATGAAACGATCGTGTCGACAAAACGTGTGTCCATGAAACGTCCACGAAATGTAATTTCGCGGTTCGGCGAAATGATAGGGACCCACCCGCACGGCGAGCTTGTTTGTCTCGAGTTAGTCATTGCACAAAACGCTCCAAGAACTTTTTTGACCCTGGCTCGCGATGTCTTGCATCAATGTGCTCAGGTTCTTTTTTTCTGTGTGTTTTGTTTGTACCTTGCCTGCCGGCCTGGCAACACGCGCCGCTGGACTGTTTTTTGTTGTATGCTGGACAGTTACATTTTGCATACAGTTTTGGGAACCAGTTGGCGACGAATCGTAG